AGTCTGAACCTCAAGATGAACAGCTTAATAGACAACAGCGAGATCAATGCAACTGCAGAATAGCCTCTCACTGGACGTAATGCAAGCCTATCTGAGAGGCATAAGCAACACAAAATTCAGTAAAGAGTACACTTGCATTAGACTTTGCATGGAAGCAATCTGAAATGACAGGAGACAGCCAGAAATTTTCCATTCACATCTTTTTTTTTGTGGGCATTTGGAATTTTGCTTATTTGTTTTATTTTTGACTGATAATGTCTGCTTACTTTAAAATGAGGTGTTTTGGTTTTTTTTCTCTTATCAGAGCACAGAAGAAGGAAAACGCAAAGTTTTCCAGTTTGGTAACCTATACATTCCAATGAAAAAAAAAGACATTTCCTCTGGAAAAAAATATCACCTATTCCAGCCAGTTGCAGAAACAAGCATCTCACACCTTCTACAATAAACAACACATCAGCACATGTTCAAGAAGCTGTGAAGGAGGACCAGAACATCTTTTTTTTTTTTTAGTTGAGCTTTGGCCTATGTTATTTCCTCCGGCATTTTGGAGAAGCAGGTTGGCTGGACAATGCATTCTTTTAATGTTTTGCCACTACTCTTAGCTTACTGTTGACCATTTTTTTTTTCACTATTCTGCTTCACTTTCACCTCACTCAGTTTGTCTCACTCACACTCACTTTGTCTCACTCAGTTTCATGTCAGTCAGTGCTCCAGGTTAGTCCCACCCAAATGTCTCTCTGTCTTTAGCTTTAAATAAAACTTCAACAGTGGAGTATCCATCTGAGGTGGTAAATAACACTTTGCTGATGATCAGTCACTGCAATGAAGCCACAGAAGGGGAATGGACAGGATTTTCACTGCTCTTCTGCGCAATGTCTTTTATTGATCTATCATTTGGATGCTTCTGTGCTGTTCTGTTAAGACCTTAATACTGGAAGAGCTGTGAATTATGGGGTTTTCTAGGCAATACTGTCCTATCATGGCTACTACTGACTTAGCATGGATGGGGCACCAGGGAACTAGCTTTGAGACCCAGTGCAGAGGGCTGGAATCGCACCGATCACTTCTGCTCCCATGGGGAGGATCAGAGGAGCTTGTCTTTCTGCCTGTCCTAGCAGTCCTCCATGGTACTGGCCATGCAGAGGGCTCACACGCACCCCCAGGCACTGCAGGTTGTACCTGCAACTTTGCCGAATCACAGGGTACTTAAGGGCTCCTAGGAATGGCCACCCAAGGGAGCTATGGCTTTCAGGGTGGGGTTTTTTTCATTATTTTGTGCATTTACTATCTGAAAGACACATGAAGTGCCTCCAAATCATTGCTTCCTAGTCCTGAGGGGGGATTTGTAATAGAATATAGTGATTTTGGCAGTTTCCTCAAATGATCCTCCTCTCTTACTTTTGCTCCCCCCCCCCCCACCTCTTTTTTTTTTTTATAACTCCTCCTCACTTCCACCTCTTTAATTATAAAGGAAAAAGAAAACAGGGCAGCCATTTTGGAAACATTTTGCCATCTGAATTCTTCAGGGCTTTGCTTGCCACAGCTTGTGGGCTTATCTGCCACATCACAGAGACCCTTTCAGTGTTTGACAGCAACTTTAGAACACTTACAAGGAAAACAAAGGACTTCAAATCATTGTGGCCTAGACTGCTGTGTCCCAAAAGGGAGATTTATAAGTTAAAAAAAAAAGTGCATCCAGAATTAAAATTGAGTGAAGACATTTCTTTCTTGGTTAGGAAAAAAAACACTCTGATGGATTACATCAAACTGGGTGCTGCTTGTGTTTTTTTGTTGGCAGCTTCTTATTTTTGGAAAGGAGTTCAATAAAACAAAGCTCTTCCTTAGAAAAATCCCAATTAAAAAGTTTCTTGAGTGTCCTCTTGAAGCACATGAGTAATTGCCCTGATGTCAATATGGTTATGCACATGCTTCAAATTGGAATTAAGGACCCTGAAGAGCTGCGACCAAAGTAAAACTAGATAAAAAACATACAGGAGTTATTGTGTTTCTGCCAGTTAAGGCGGCTGCCTGCTCTCAAGCTTTGGAATAGCTGTCTGTGCCGTACCCGTGGGCCTAGCTGGCTTCTGTCCTAGTGTTTTCAGGAAACTTCTTGTTGCAGTAATGACACTCTCTGCTGAGTGGGCAAGTCAGAGAATCCCAGTGGTATTTTGGAGGCTTACTGGAAGTTGCACATCAAACCAACCATGGGGGTACAATAACACCGTGCTGAGCCAAGAACAACTGCCCCATCTCTAAGTAAGGCTTATTATTGAGGGCTTAGCCCTGTGCTGACTGCTATTGCACAGCACTGGCTGGAAGCTGACTTGTGGCCATCATGACTGAAAATCCTCTGCCTGCTTCCAGGGTGCTGGTATGAATATTTCTGGGCACTGGATGAGCTGAAGAAAGAGCTGGATCTAAGCCCTTCTGAGCTTCTGGGTACCCTTGCTGTCACCAAGTGTCCTCTCCAGTCCAACCTGGGATGGTAGTCCCTGTGCTAAATCAGATCCTTCCCTGGGATATGTTCCTTCAGTGTCCTCCTGAGGCCACACGCACTTGGCCAATCTCTTTTGTTAGGTGCAAAAAACACACACACAAAACTTTTTTCCTGGAGAACTCTTTTCTGCTAAAAAACAGGTACATCTTCAGCTCCTTCAACGGGCTCACCAAGGTGGGAGTCTACAAGAGAACAAGGACCTCTGAGCTGCATTTACTCCATTTTGATAGGGACTATCTGTACCTCTAATAAAGGCTCCTATAAGCAGAGGATGGAAGTGATCTGGTGGTAACAACTGAACTGATTTTGCCGGACAGCAGAGTATTAAAATCAAAATAAAACCAGGGAGGACAAAGGGCTTCCTATTTAGAGGCGACAATTCAAGACCGTTCTCCTGCTTTGCAGAAGCAAAAGAAAGAAAAAAAAAATGCTCTGAGAGATATGGAATTTTATTGCCATTTTACCAGCTGATTTCTTTTTATATTATTTGTTGGGGAAAAAAAAAACAAACAACAAATCTTAGTCCTACTATTGAGTAATTTTTTTAAAGGAAACAAGCTGAGACCTCAACATCAGCCTGATCATGAAAAGGTAGAGGTAGAACACTTCATAATGATCCATGATAATGAAACACCATAGACTCATACCGCTGAATCTTTAACAACACAGCTGTCTACAGCTCTGCACTTTCTTACATGACCATAAGAAACAAGCATATCCTCAGTCATCACAACTATGCTATGATACAAAGCTATTGCTTGGTGCCAAACTAGGGAGACACTTGTGTTCCTTGATCCCTTTGCAGGTGTTATGGAAAATCTCACTGACAAAGACAGTCCCTGCTTTAACAAAATTGCATGCATGTATCTCCTGCTCTCCCCCAGCAAAACCTGCAGTAAAAGGCCAGTGTGATGAAGCAAAAAGCATTTGGATATGGAAACATATTTGGTTTGAAGGTTCCAAGAGGCCTTGTCATAAGCAAAGAAAAGAAAAGAGGTATTTGAAGAGGGAAAATGCATTGACAGTTATCTTCATATAGTGACATATAAAGGAGAGTCTGAGCTATGGAGGCTGTATCTTGCACATGCGCCTAATATGTTTGTTGAAAGGTTTCTTAGTCCGCTTCATGATGTCTTCAGTGCAGCACCTCTTTCAAAGACATTTTGATCCCATTCCTTAATTCTCAGTGGAAAGGATACTGCTCTGAAGACCGGAACAATACATTTTTCAAAGATATTAGAGATACCAATGAAAAATTAGAATACTTCATAGCTCTTTGGGCAGGTTGAAGATAGGGATTTCCTGCCTGTACCGTAGATGGGTCAAAAAAGGCCTGAATCAAAATCACTCAATCTTAGACATTACAGCTATAATGGCCTAGAAAGGTTACCTAACCCATGTCTCTGTCACTAATTTGGAAGTGCAAACTGCTTGTTGCAGCTTAGGGCCACCCTGAGTGCTGTGTTTATTGGGGAATCTCTGGTGTGGAACAGTTTTAACAGCAGGGAGACTTCCTGTCTCTGTAACAAATACATATGGTTTTATATTTCTGTTTCTCAAAGAATTATCTAATGGAAAAGCCAGCCAGTGGTGGGAAATATTTCCATTTTTGGAAACATCTCCATTTTTGTTATTGGTGATAGGCTGGGATTCCAACGAAACAAGCTGCTCCTTCTGATATTTTTGACGCTGTTACATGTATTAGAAGTTCCCTTGGAGAGTCAGGCTGGCTCCTTTCCAACAACACAAAGTACGTGAGTCTAACAATGAGACCCTCATTCAGATTTGTCTAGGTCCTCAGCCAATCAAATCTTCCTTTGCTTTGGTTGGGTTTTATCTATACACAGTAGTTAACAGTAACTGAGCAAGAAGTGGGCATGGATCCTTCTATTAATTTCTTGGGCTTGGGAAGAAAGAAATTAGGGGTTATTTAGTTGTCAGGGAGACATATTTACATAAAGTATTATGCTGGGATGAAACTGGATACAGACTGTACTGCATGAAGAATGAAGAATGCTTTGAAACATTTGCAACACAGAGCTATTGAGACAGACATTGTCCCAGTCCAGTCACCTGGGATTAAACTGCAGCCCAGTTCCATCTCTTAATTGCAGATTTTCTTCAGCCACCAGAAATGCTCTCTTAGGCTGAGCAAGGGGAATCAGGACAGCTGCTGGCTCTCCTCTAGTGACCAGGAAGACTTTCTAGAGATGCAGGATGCCCATGAGGTGGGGAACTTGGCTCATCCCTCGTTAAGCATCCTTCCACCTCTTTTTCTAAAGAGACACACACACAAACAGTTCCTGGTTTATGTGTGGGTGTGTATCTGTGCAGTGTGGCTCTCGCCAGAGGCCTAAGTGAAAAAGGCAGAAGCTAGAGAGTTGCAGAGCTGAATCTTTTTGAGGGTCTACAACACAAAAAGAGGCTACAACCACAGCTGACACCCCCTTCTCCATGCAGTTACCTGTGCTAGTGCTTTGTATCCAGTGGTTCCCACAACTCTTCAGTAGGGACGATTAGCATCCTTTGGCCTCTTCAGCTGCACCTTCAGCCTCTTCATGCCAATCTGGAAGCCATTCATAGCCTGGATAGCAGCTTGGGCACTGGCAGGATTGTCAAAACTCACAAAACCTGTCAAAACATGAGGCAAGGCAGGGGGCTTAATGAGCTGAAGGGGGCCAAGGCACGTACATGCAACGACCACTGAGAATGAACATGGGGAAGGGGGTGAGGGTGGTGGGAGGGAGTGAGCAGGTAGGAGGGTGGGCGGGTAGGCAGGAGAGTGAGGAGAGGATGGTTGCCAATGGGGGACGAAGGGAAGGAGGGGTTGTTATAGGTCAGTGTCCCAGGATGCAGTGCCTGGTCTGAGTGCCAGTTTGGACACAAGACTATGTGAAGCACGGGGATCCAAATGCTGGTGCCACAGTACCAGCACACGCAAGATTTGGGTCACCTTTGAGCTGGGTGCCAGCAGATGTGATGTATGATCTCAAGGCACTCTGTCTTGCTCTTTTTCCCTCCATCATGACTGGGGTAAATCTCTAGACCCTCCTTCACTCACCAACATAACCTTTCCTTTGCCTTCCAATATTCACGATGAAGGGGACCTGATGTACCTACTGCTACTTCCTTATTATGGCAATATAAGTAAAATTTGAATTTAATAAGTTCTCCATTATGGTATTCATTGGTATGAATAGTTTGATTGCTAGCCACTTAAGCAATATGAGGAGCTTTATTAACTGGCAATTACTGCAGCCTTTATGTTGACTCTGCAGTTGAGAAAGATGAACGCTAGTACTTTCCTAACATGGTTTCCATAAGTAGTTTCATACCTTACCAGCAAATCATCCAACCAGCCATGGAGTGCATTCAGCAGTAGAAACACCTATAGTGACTGAGTATTGTATCTACAGGCCACATAAAATGACATTCTTTGTCTCAATGGAAGACTTGCTCACTGGGGACCGGAAGAACCAAGATAGGTCAGGATACAATGCATCTAATGCATTCAGCTTTGGGAAGGGTTTTTCGTGTAGGTTTATTTTTTTTTTTCTTCTTTTTTTTATGTTAGCTCCAGGAAAAGGACTCATTTGCCAAGACTGTATATGACTTTAGCTGGAGTGACCATGGGTCTGAGATATTAGTGAGGCAGGGGGCCATCACATTGTATAAGAATTGCCTCTGCTACCTTTGCCAGAAATGTCCCTGTGTGCCAACAACATTTCTGAGCACAAACCCTGGGTAAGACTAGCCTGGACCAACCTGCGCTCCAGACAAAGCCATCTGTTCTCCCACCCCTGCAAAGCTCTGGCAGCACAAATCAACCCTAGGAACCCAGTGTCTCTCAACAGACAGGCTGAAATGAAGAGGCAGTTTGAAAGCCCCTCAAAAAGCTAATGCTGAGCATTTGCTGCCAGGTGTACACCTGTTCCTGACAACAGCACCAGGCATGGCTTACAGCCTTGGGCTGTAGTGTGAATGCATTCAGCAGCACCTCCTCCCTGGTCTAGTTCCTCCTTGAAAGCAAGTCTCACAGGTGACACAGGTTGGCTTGCATTTGAAAAAGACATGCATACACATGCACGTATATGCAAGCACACCTTCTCACTCTTGCATTAAAGCTGTACTCCCTGCCTTTGACTAATAACATAAGTTTATGAGAGGTGATAAAATGTATGGTCTTAGCCTCGAAGTGAGACAACAGATTTACTGAGTATGGCAGATGTGGTTTTAAGAGGGAGGCCCATAGAATAAACAGGCATCCCTCTTCGTCCTCCCCTCTTGAAGCCAAGGCTCCAAATAACTGGTTGTCCATGCAGTTTTCCTGCCAACCACCTAGATGAGGAGGTACCGACACTGCAGTTCTGAAGATGTGAGCAAAAGTTTTGCTCAAACCTGACAGCAGTCATCAATCTCTAGACAAAAAACTGGAGAGTTATGGTGAGTAACGAGCTGGGGTATTATTCAATGGCGATGGATCTGCTTTTGCAATCACTTATTAGCCAGTAAGCACCTGGTAATGTTCCCAGTCTACATTTGACTAGTTGAATAATCTATCAGTCAACAAGGTCCTATGATCTGATCGCAGCAAAGGAACATACGAAACACCTCCTGATTACACCTGAGTTGATTCAGTCTTTAAATACTGCTGGAAGGTCCCTTGGAAATGCTTTACTTATGCTTCAACTTGAAATTTGCTGTCTAGCTACCTCACATCTTTGAATATAGGATGTAGTGAAAGCCAGTTCTTTTTAAAATCACCTCTGGATTGCTAATACTTCTGTCCAAGACCCATCAGCTGCATCTATAACAGTAAGATAAAACTGTGCCAGGGAAGTTCAGAAAAACTGGAACCCAATCACCTGTACTACTGAATTTTTAGAAAGGTCCTTGACATAGTTTTGGCTTGTGCTTAATTCCAAACAATTCCTGGACAAAGTCTGAGTATTAGCACAGAACAGAGGCTGTTTTCAGTAGTTAGCTTGGATGTGGCCATGATATTCTACAAAGTAAGAGAATTTAATAGTTTAGGTGTGGGCCATTCTGTGCCAGCTGGCCCCAGTGCTAGAGCAAAGTGCCAGGTATGTTTACTTTACTAGTATATAAGCAGCTACCAAATATTGAAGCTGAGTTGGCTGCAGCTGGATAATTGCTTATATCATGTCTTTAGAGAACCTAGCTTGCCTGTGAACTTTGATTTCTACTCTTGTAATTGATCCTGTTGCAATGTACCTCTTGCTGACTCAATGTGCACATCTAGAGTGTGTCTACATGTGCATCCATTTGTGAGCAAATCACCTTGGGATCCTAAAATAACCAGTGGAGGTCTAGCCAATATAATCAGTGGAGTGTAGGACATGATTTCTTTCTTTTTTCAGGACACTCCTAGCTGTACTCAAATGAAACAAATCCCACTGGCTGTGTGGCAGGGACCAGTGCTAACTGCAATGAGGGCAGGCACCTAGCTTAAATCAGGGTACCTCTATTGTGGGATTTACCTGGTTCCACAGCTGGGACTGACATCTCAAGGTAAGATGTTGTTAACTGGCTAGTGCCAGTTTGGTGAGCCACTCCCCAAAGTGATGTTAATTGCTGAATCAAACCCCTAAGGCATGCCAATCCCACCAGAAATGCTGTCAAATCTGATGGAAGTCTACTATTTGTCTACTTTTGCCAAGACTAGACCTTTAGTTGGGTGATAAGCCCTGGTGCTGGGATGCTGATACAGTTGTACCTCTGCAAAAACCTTGCCTTTAGATAAGTTCACAAAGCTACACTAGTTTTTATCATCACTTTGCTTTTGAGGTGGAATTCTAAGGCCATTTCCTCATTCTGTGCAAAGCTGTAAATAATACAACTTTTTAACAAATGGGACTAGTAAGAGAGATCAGAAGTGCATTTGCTCACTATATTCATTTAGACCTAATAATGAGGCTGGGAGTTGTACTCTGATGCTATTGGTATTAGTTGCCTACAGATTTGGACTGTTTATTTTTCCTCCTTATTTGTCCTTCTATCCCATTGCTGTAATATAAAAATCTTCACTGGCTAACTGCTGAGGGTGGAGGGACTGGGATGAGAGGGCTGGGGAGAGAGAAGGAGGAGAGCAAATGCCAATAATTGTGCATTTTCCTTGTGAACGCATCCTAGGGACAGAGCAGCTAATTCCTCTAGCTTCATGTGACTGTTTTGGTTTCAGGGGTCTTGATATGCTCAGAAGTTGTTGGTGCATTTGGCTCTCCCCCTTCCTGTTATTTATGTGGAGTTATGTTTCATATTGCTGAAGGTATTTGTATGGACTCCAAAAAGAAGAAAAGCTATGGCTTATCTTGAGGGTTGAGAGGTCACAGTGACAAGGGATAGGCAGATAGACAGACAGACAAGCTGTGCTAACAATACCATATTCCTTTCTCTTTTCAGATCAAGTATCTACTGGTAGATTATATGACTTTCTTGTTTTTGTTGTTATGTGCACTATTGGCAGTTAACCAGCTTTGTTTCTCCACATCTATGTCAACAGCATTAATGGTGCTATGTCAGATTTAAACATGTATGACTAGAAACAGCATGTACGTACTGGGAAAATAGCTTAAATACTTGCTTTCTGAATGGCTTTAATGCTTGAACCCATGACTATAGGTCTTAAAGCATGATCATAATACTACAGCTGCTCAAGAAGCTATCTGTGTTTTGAACACCACCCCTGCATTGTCATCTACATTCTTGAAGGACAAAAGAGAAAGGGAGAGGTTAAAAAGCTTTAAGCTGTTTCTGTGCATCAGTTAATTAATAATCAGAGAAATATATATTCTGGTCTGAAGATGGTTGGTAGGAGGACAGGATTTTGTGATAAATCTATTTTACGGGGGGGATGTTTTTTTTCCTCTCTTTTTTTTTTTTTTTCCCCCAGGCTGTTCTAATAAATGATTTATCAAAGCAGCAAAGAATGAAGAAAACTGCTAGGACTGTAGCTCAGGGCATGTAATCTTCCTGATTCTGCACAGCATCTTCCAGGAAGGTACTGATGTTGGAGTCCATGACTTCTCCTGGCCTGCTCTTTTCCTGCATGTGTAAATGATTAGCGGGTAGAAACTGGAGTAGCATCTTAGAGGGTACTTTGGTTTCTCCCCATTTCTTCCACAGGAAGTCTTGGTAGTGGGGCATGCTGAGGGAGCTTCATGCCCTTCTCATGGCGCCAGCATGGTCACCAATGGCTTTATGTAACTGATATTACTCAAGGGCTGTTTTTCTGTTTTAATCAGCTGAGATGATAAAGAGAGGAATTAGCAATCTATCTCAGAGTGCATTTGAAGACTGTTTTGCAACTGTAAACTTTCATTCACAGTGAGTAGTGTCTCTGCATGGCCATGAATTGGTTTGTGCACTAAGTGCAGTCCTGAATGAGCACATCATTAGGTTCCCATGGATCCCTAATTGGTCTTTCTGAGTTTTCTGTTTCTCTTTGCATGCTGCAAGGAGAATTAGCGGTTAATGTGCAAAACAGCCTTTTAATGATCTGCTACCAGGTTGGAATAACATGTTGCCTCTCTTCAGCAGAAGCTTTCCTCTGGATGGAGCCCAATGCTTGGTAACTACACTGAGCATCCCCTAAATCAGAAGTCAAGACC